TAATCGCGATGTGACAGAAAGCCGCAAATATGAAGCATTCAATCAGGATTGAACTCAGTAATCTGTCGGAATTTTATCTGCGAGATAAACTTGCTAACCACTACACCACGTCAATGTGCCTGTGAGATCTTAATATAAGATGTAATGAGATGTGGCACAAGGGCGTAAATATGGAGCACACAGTGAGGATCGAACTCACTACACAATCGTAATTGATCTACTAGATAACGTTTCTACCCACTATGCAATATTGAAGTTCCTCCGATATATTTATGCATTTTTCATTGCACCCCAGTGTATATGGCCGAGTAGTTAGAACGTTCGCATTCTGATCAAGAGACCCGGGTTCGAATCTCACCATGATCGATTCATCAGGAAGTGCCTAATGTTATCGGACTGGAACTGTGCGTGCGGCACCTATGGAAAGTCCCTGAAAACTATACCACGCGTTGATTCAAGCCTCGAGAGTGAAATGGGAAGGTGACGCCCATGGGGGCCGTCGACAGCTGTGCTACCACGAAGTCACTTGTTCAAGCTGTTGATCACGTTAGATAACACGTTCTTTCCCAGAAACTGTAATTAGGTATGCTCAGTATAGTTGCAGTATAAACCAGAGGTGGGCTCTATAGGCGTTGAATAAACACAAATGTGCCTGAGCAAGCGTCTGTCATAGGGATTGGCTAGCAGCTCTAGTAGACGGGTATCCTCGAATACGGGTGGCCAGCTATACTGGTCCTGGTTTCAAAATAGGCAAGCTGTTTCTAAGACCAGAGATCAAACAATGATTTCTCGCTAATATTTTTATGTTTTGCTTGCTATGAACGAGATCGAACTTGGAAAGTGTATACTATATAGTTTTAATAAAGGTGGAAATTAGCCCTTTGAGCCCTGTGTTCCTGAACAATTTTAACCATTCTTCCTTCGCAAATAATTGATATGTAATGTTTCACGGCAGATATAAAAAATGGTTGCAAAAATATAAACACTATATTTTTCAGAGAGAATGATTTCATGCCTTCACTTTAACGACAGATTTTCCCTTTGTGTCCCAGTCTACCCAAATAAGACAGCCAATGGCTAAACACGACGCAAGTGTTTACCCACCGTTCAACCGGTACGTTGAAGTAATGGATAGTGGCTTGGATTGAGGAATCGGAGAGACGAGTTAGAATTCCAGTCGTATCCATTACATTCATTTACGTGCTAATACCCTTGGGAAAGGTGTGAATCCTCTTCTTCTCCCTCCAGCTATGGGTAAATAGCAGGACATACCGGGATCTATAGCATTGGATGGCAACTTGTCTAGGAGAAGGAAAACTCTGAATTCAAAACCTGCGGAGGGTTGTTTGGGGACCTTGTGGCACGTAGAGCACCAGGTCTCTGTAATCGGCCCTTCAAAAAGTGTGGACGGTCCTGCACCTTCACCACTATAATCAAATCTCATGTGCTATACATGCGGGTTTGGGGACCGCTTGTGAATTCCAAATTCCCAGGAAACTCCAATATTGGAGCCGGCTGAACCCACCCAGGGTGAATTCCGTTACAAGAACAAGAAGTACAACCGGTGGCTTGGCATTAAGTCATTACCGATAAATGGGTAGTCATGGCTCAACGGTTTAAGAATGAATTATTTTGAATGTTTCTTTTAGAAAGCAAACAAGTTTTTTTTTCTCTTTATAAATGCCTCCAAAACGAAAGTATTAACTTTTAATATTGTTCGAGAACGAATTTTGCCTTCGATCAAAATGGCTGACACTAACTTCCAAGAGAGCAATTATTTGTGACCTCAAACGTTTTTGCGCCCGCTAACATAAAGTGGAAAGATTATATTGAATCAATTGCTGAGTCTGATGCTAAGAAAATTAGTTCGCCGTGACATTTTAGATATTTTTTACATTTTTATGAGTCTACGATTTGTCTATACATTAAATATTGCTTCCACATCTAATCTAGTGTTTCTCCTATGTATTTAGAGATTCTTGATAGAATCCAAAGAAACTGCAATGTTATTAGTCCTGACATGGCATCTCTGTCATTTTCTTACGTAGCTTCCCTGTGTATTTTCTATAAATATTTTCGTAGTAAATGTTCTGATGAGCGTTTTTTTTTTATACCTCGACTTTGTAAAATTAAACGTAGTGTAGAATGGCAGTTGAAATGGTTTTTAACCAAAACATCTATGTTAAAAATTTCTTCAATATCATTCGTTATCGTTAAATCCAATTCATTTACTGTTGTCTCTCCGATATTATATTTTTTTTAATTTTTCACTTAATCTTCCATACGCAGTAGCCCCTTATGATTTAGAAGGTTTATTCCTACGAACCGCTGCGTTTTGAAACTGACCCCAAAAACGATGCTTCCCCGATTACCACCACCTTAACTTGCTTCCTTACATATCGCCATAAACTGTGATTATTAGTCTGTAACTCTCTACCACGAGTGGCTCTTGGGTCATGGACAAAGAGAACAGTATTGTAAATGTATTATAGATATAGACAGGCATCAATATGAAGGCCATCATCTGATCATGTGCCCTAATGCTGATGTCATATAAAATATATAATCATTGTACAATATATATATATATATATATATAAATATATATATATAGATAGATAGATAGATATAGGTAACTATACTCGTTTCGAAAACCCTCGAATTTTTGATTTGCCAATAATCAAATCAATCTCGAGGGAAAAAAGGTTTTAAAAAAAAGAAAGAGCTACAAACATGAAAGTCTATCGAAAAAAATCGCACAGATACAGGTTTGAAGCCCAAAGAAAAAACCCCGACACGAGTAAACAACTAACAAAAGAGCTAAATACAACCGTA